ACTATTGTTGAGCACCTGCTTTGTTTTTCATATCTTAAAGGTATAAAGATAAATTGAGTGACATTCCTCCCTACAAGAATCTATGAACACAATGCAATATTATGTATGTGTTTACAGAAGTAATATGTGTGAAAATTAAAGAAGTTCAATAGTAAAAAAGATGTAACTTATTTTGGAGGGGGTAGGGTTAAGAGGGACATAGAACCTCAGAAAAGATGAAACCCACCTGGCTTTAAGAGAGGAATAGATATTCCCAAGGTGGACAAGGCAGAGGAAATCACGTGTCAAATGTAAGCTGTGGAGGCATGAAACAGCATGGTGTACATGTGGGTAAACTTCAGTGGAAAGGGCCTGCATATCCAGGTGGGTGATTAAAATGGAGGTGAAATGGAGGCCATAGGTATTGTGGAGGTTCCAGTGGGGCTGTTGGCAGTCACGCCAGTGGAAAGTTAATGGAATTTTATTTTATTTTTAAAAAAATATTTGTATTGCTTTCAGAGAGGAAGGGAGAGGGAGGGAGAGATAGAAACAAGATTAGAGAGAATCATTGATTGGTTGCCTCCTGCACACCCCACACTGGGAATCGAGCCCACAACCAGGGCATATGGCCTGACCGGGAACCAACCATGACCTCCTGGTTCTTGGGCTGATGCCCAACCACTTAGCCACACCAGCCAGGCCAAGTTAATGGAATGGAATTTTAAACACACACACACACACACACACACACACACACACACACACACAAATACCAGTCATTTCCTCCATCAGTCATTTCCTTCCACTCCTTGCCCTTCCCTTTTATAAAATTTGCCAGTTTGTTAGGGAGTGCTGAGAGGGTAGTACATGAACTCTTCTAACTCAGCACCCACAGCTTATTGGATCTGGCTCTATTCTGACTTAAGCTGAGTCAATCTGCCTCCTAAGAATTTAGATCAGAACATTGAGAGACTAGGTCATATTCCGCCCCTCCCCTCCCATCTTTATTGAAGCATGATTGACAAATAAGAATTATATGTATTTAAGGTGTACAATGTTATGTTTGGATATACCTATACATTGTGAAATGATTACCATAACCAACTAACTAACATAGCCATATCACATAGCTACCATTTTCTTGTGTGTTGTGGTGACAACACTTAAAATCTACTCTCTTAGCAAATTCAAGTACACAATACATTATTATTAACTACTAGGGGCCAGGTGCATGAATTTGTGCATGGATGGGGTCCTGAGAGGGGTGAGCGGGGGCAGGACGCGATCAGCCCTTTGGGCAGGGGGTAGGATGCCCTTGCGGGGCCCGGGATCTGGATCCATCCCACTGACATTTGCGCAGGTTGTCAGGAGCCACCTGGCGGTCGCGTTTATATTGTTTCTTCCTTGCAGAGCATCTAGGGAGGGGATGCGGCCGTGGTGCCCAAGGCTGACTTCCAGGAGACTGGCGGCTGTCAGAATTGTGCTGGTGGCGCTGGTTTGCTGGTGCCTGGCCTGTTCTCGGGAGATTGGACCCGCAAGACTACTGAGGGAGGGAGTGGCTGCGGCAGGGCTGGTGGGCCACTGGGATGGGTTGGTCAGCTGAGTGGCACTCCCACTGTGGGAGCACAGTGACCACCAGGGGGCAGCTCCTGCATTGAGCGTCCTCCCCCTGGTGGTCAGTGCGTATCATAGCGACCAGTCGTTCCTGTCTTTCGGGTGTTTGGTCACTTAGGCTTTTATATATATAGATAGTCACCATGTTGCACATTAGGTCTCCAGACCTTATTCACCTTATAACTGAAAGTTTGTTTTCTTTAACCAGTATCTCCCCGTTTCCCCCCAAGCCCCTGGTAACCACCATTCTACTTGTTACTATGAATTTGATTTTTTTTAGATTCCACATGTAGGTGAGATCGTGCAGTATTTATCTTCCTGTGTCTGGTTTATTTCACTTAGTATAATGCCCTACAGGTTCATCCATGTTGTTACAAATGGCAGGATTTCCTTCTTTGTTAAAGCTGAATAATATTCCAGTGTGTGTGTGTGTGTGTGTGTGTGTGTGTGTGTGTGTGACATTTGCTTTATCTATCTGTCCACCGACAGAAACTTAGGTTGTTTCTATATCCTAGCTACTGTGAATGAAGCTGCAATGAACATGGGAGAGAGATGTCTCTTTGAGATAGATTTCGGTTCCTTTGGATATAGACCCAGAGGGGGATTGCTGGATCATATGGTAGTTCTATTTTTAATTGAGACTGACTCATTTAGATAGAAGCGTTGAACTTATAAAGTCATGTAAATTTCAGAGGCAAAGTCGCCATTTGGGGCTTCCATTTGGGGGCAGCAATGCAGTGTAAAGCAGAATGAGCTGATGTCTAAGAGAAGCAGAGAGAATAGGAGACAATAGACCTTGAAGGCCAGAGACAGAGAGGGAGTTGGTGGCTGTCTCGGTGCTGACAGTTTTCTGATCCCTTATTTCAGTCCACTTACCACTTCCTGTTCTTGAGTTCCCTGCAGTTCTTCTGAGTCTTTATAATAAATCCCCCTCGACCTAAGTGGCTTCCTTTCTTCCTTTCCTTTTAGACAACACTGCAACGTGCCTAATTCTTTTCTCCCCTTCCTCATATTCTCAGCTTAATAAAACCACACACCTTCCACATCTGGAACACACACATATGTACCAGAGACACTTATTTAATACACTACAGCTCAAATATGCCCAGAAAAAGGAGGTTTCTTATTTTTTTCTAGACTTTCACCTGTGTATTAGTTTTCTATTACTGCATAACAAAATGCCCCAAAACTTAGTCACTTAAAACAATAATAAACATTATCTCATAATTTCGGTGGGTCAAGAATTTGGGAGCAGCTTAGCTGGGTAGTTCTGGGATGGTAGCCTAGGGCTGGAGGACCTGCTGCCAGGGCGGCTCACTCACCTTGGTGGCCAGTTGGTACTGGTTGGTGAGAGGCTTTAGTTTTCCGCACATGGGCCCCTTCACAGGATGGCTTGAGTGTCCTTATGACGTGGTGGCCGGCTTCTCCCAGAATGAGTAATCCAACAGGAAGAAACAATCCTTGTTAGGATCTAGTGTCAGAAGTTACAGAGCCCAGCTGGCGTGGCTCAGTGGTTGAGCATCGACCTATGAACCTGGAGATCACAGTTCCATTCCCAGTCAGGGCACAGGCCCGGTTGCGGGCTTGATCCCCAGTGTAGGGCATGCAGGAAGCAGCTGATAAATGATTCTCTCCCATCACTGGTGTTTCTATCTCTCTCTCCCTCTCCCTTCCTCTCTGAAATCAATAAAAATGCATTTTTTGGGGAGAAAAGAGAAGTTACAGAGACCCACTTCTGCCCTGTTCTTTTTATCAGAAATAGGTTACTAAGTCTGGCCCATATTCAAGGGGAGGGCTACTAAGTGTCACCATTTGAAGGGAGACATATCAAATACTTTGTTGACATATTTTGAAACCACCACAACTATTGGGTTACAGGGGGCAAAAGCGCCCAATCCCATTTTAAATATACATAGTTCAATTTAATTTCATTATTTAAATGGTTCCTTTAGATAAAAATGCTTTATTTTTCATAATGCCTCCCAGGGCGGTCCTGTCGTCTCTGAAGGTAACATCCATTTGTATGGAGGACGGGGAGGGCTGATGTGCACATCCTTGTGGCGTGGGTGAGAGAAAGGGCATCTCCTGACTCCGTTCAGGACCTGGCAGGTTTCCGGCATGATATCCCTTCTCAGCTGATCTCCGGGGAGCCTGTTAGCCTGTGATGCTAAAGCCTGCAGCTGGTGAAGTCATGGCCCGTTTTTGGCTTCAGTCTCCTAGGGAGTATTGGTCAGCGCCTCTTGCAGATTCAACTTCCCCTTGGCCCTTGCTATGGAGTCACCTTGCCTGGCCATGGCAGGCCCACTGGCTGTTAGTTCAGCAGTGCTTCAAGGGAACCCGGAAGGCTTGGGATACTTGGCTGCTCTATCTCTGCCTGACCGTGCTGCTGGGGACTTGCCACTGGCCAGAACAGCCATGGCAAGTGCAAGGAATGAGGTGAGGGGCCTGGACAGTGTCTCAAAAGGAAAGCAGAGGCAGAGATCCCTTGCCCTGAGTGCTCCTCTCAACATGGGTGCAATTCATTATGGTATGTAAGCCCCCTAACGACCCAGTCCTAATCTCTGTGAGTTTGTTACCTTACAGGGCAAAAGGGATTTTGTAGATATGATTAAGTTAAAGGGCCTTGAGAAGGGAGAGTAACCTGGATTATCTGGTGGGTCTAATCTAATGACATGGGTTCTTAAAAGAAGCTTTCTAGTCTTCGGTCCAAGTCAAAGGGAGATGTGACTATGGAATCATGGTTAGAGAGATACAAAGTTGGTCTTGAGGATGGAGTAAGGGGGCTATGAGCCAAGGAAAGTGGGTGGCTGGAAAGGCAAGGAAGTAGATTCTCTCTTGATAGCCTCCAGAGATGAACACAGCCCTACCGTCACCATCATTTTAGCTCAGTAACACAGTTCTAACCTGCAGACCTGTGAGGTAGTGCATTTATGTTGTTTTAAGCCACTGCATTTGCGGTAATTTGTTCCAGCCACAATTCAAAATGGATACACTCATATCCAACTTTGGCCTAGAGAGAGTCAGGCCCAGTGACTGGCTGCTTTGTCTGGGTTCTCCTTTATCTCTCTCTCTCTTTGTCACTAAACCTGAAAGCCAAAGGACAGACGCACTCTCCATGTCCTGCTTTATCAGAGAGCAGTATTTATTACTTTTTCATCTTCATTTAGACATTAAAGTTAAAAGAGAAGTACAATAAACTCATATGCTCTTCACCTAGATTCACTATTTGTTAATGTGCTGTCATATTTACTTTCCTTTTCTGTGTATGTGTGCATGTGCGTGCGTGCGTGTGTGTGTGTGTGTGTGTGTGTGTGTGTGTGTGTTGTTGTTGAAGTATTTGAAGGAAGTTGCTTGTGGAAGTTGAGGATCAAGAAATTAGCTCCCATAAAACTGTCTGCATGCTCGAGGACCCCTTGGAAAGTTTTTACCTGGCCCAGCCTGAAGACCTGCTCTACCGGACTGAACACTGAGTAACCTCTGGTTGATGACAAGGGAAGGCAGAAACAACGGAATTTCAAGAATGGCTTCTAAAACAGTAGCCTGGATTCGAAGCCTGTGGTCTGGATGCACATTCCTAGTTTGAATTTCAGAAGGTGAATATTCCTTCTTTCCATTCCTTTTGTAAGTTCTAAATGGTGCCATACTTCCTACTCATAGGGCAAATTGATTCTGTAGGGACAGGAATAAAAATCATTCAAATCATTTTCAAAATAACACTCCAGCCATACAAGTATTGTAGGATTTTATGTGTTTGGATGAAAGGTAACTGTCTCTTTATCTTCTTCCAAATGGCTAGGAATATGTTTGGTGATTACAAAGTTAATATTTTTAACAGAATTAGTGTTTACACAACATACCTTCTAGTAATTATTAATAATATTCTGATTCCTTGTAAAGTTATTTTAATTATTATTTTTTCTTTTTAAAAAATTATTGTCATTAAGCCATGACGTACACATACAATCACCCTAAAAGGAATGAATAATTTAGCCTCTATTTTTTTTTGTCTCAAATAATTTAAAGCAATCTTTTTTATTTCTTTTGTCAAAGGGCCATTGTAATGAATCCTATAACATTAGTTTGACAAGTTATCTTGGTCTAGCCTAAGATTCATGATGCAGACTAGTATAGTATAATGTGCCTGACCTGGAGTCAAGGTTAGTTTCAAATCCTAACTCCCACACTAACTAGCTGTGCAGTTTGGGGCACATTACTTACCTTCTCTAAGCCTTGGTTTACTCATCTGTCTCATAGTTTGATAGAATTAAATGACATCATGTACTGAATCTGACACAATAAATGTGAGTTGTTTCTATTGTTGTTATTGACTAATAGGAGAGATAATATTCAAGTCACCAGTCTGCTGGTTTTTAACAGTTTCTTCAAACATGTATCAGCTTTCCTGATAAATGAATTTTCTGAAAGTGGCAAGTATTAGAATTAACACAGTTGAGTTTCTCTGTGAGTCTTACAGAGAAAAACTAGAATTAACCTGACTCTTCTAAAATAAAAGGAGTAAATATGTCTTAAGCTGTGGATATTGCATCAGCAAGGAATTTCAATTTCTTCACTTGATCTTAGCCAAAAAGTGGAACTTCAATTTCTTGAAATCATACTCCAGCTCCCCTGAGCTACCTCTTTTCTCACAGTTTGCATTTCAGCACATTGCAAGTCAGAACTTCTCCCCAAACATAAATATTCAGAATTGCCATAGTTAGGATTCTGAGTTTAAAATAATCAGTTATATGCCAGCTTTAGGAGACAAATATATAACTGGTTTACATTTCTGATTTGGGTAGTCCAAATGTTATCCAAGGAATTAACCTTATTAATCACATTTATTTTTATTAAAATAATTTAGCAGCTCACATGAAAATATATTTATCTTTGCTCCTGTAAAATTGTAAAGCATTTAAAAATTGTTCCTGGTGTCAAACATCAGGTGTGGATCTCAAGCATCTCCCAGTGAAGGCTGTAGGTCTTTGATGAATGGCTTCACAAAAGTCAGAAGTCCCAGCCTGAAGAGAAATACGTTTCTCATGTTCTTTCCACCACTTGGTGATGGCACTCTACAGTCATTCTATGAAGCTGGCATTTTCATTCCGTTGCAACTAAACTGTTTTTTTAAAAAAATATTTTTAAAATTGATTTTTTAGAGAAAGAGGGAGAGAGAGAGAGAAACATTGATGTGAGAGCTGCCTCCCTCCCTAGGCATGTGCCTAGAACCTGAATCGAACCAGCAACCCTTCAGTGCAATAGACAGTGCCCAACCAACAGCTACACCAGCCAAGGCACCCCTACACAGATTTTTCAGGAAAGTAGCTGTAGAGGATGGAGTTACCATCGCAGTGTCCACACAAATTCCTAGAGTCCTTTCAAGATTTAGGGTCAGCAACAATTCAGTAAGGTAAGGGCCCATTAAGTAAGTTTGGCTCTGAAAATGCTAATTGAAAATCCTCCTCAGCAATTCAGCCCCTTTCCTTCTGCTTTTCTGTAGCCAGCTGGGTCCCATGGTGACCGGTTCTGAAAGAAATCATCCCCTTCAGCAGTTACCTAGCACCATGGCAACCGAGACGTCAGCAAAGCAGGATAGACCTTGGAACAAAACAGCTCCTACCAGGCTTTCTCCCTGCTACTCTAATTCAGCCCTGTCTGAGGCCTAGGGATGGGGTGAAAGACGTGCAGACAGCCACACTCAGGAAATCCTGTGTATTTCGGTGACTTTTCCGTGAGCATAGACATATGGGCATATAGTAAATTGTGTTACGAGAATTCCTCTAAAACATAGAGCATATTTAAAGGGTGGGGATGGATTGTGGGAGGAGAACAAGGAGGTAGATATGGAATGCCCTTTGGGTTTAACGTTATATAAAATTTATATTTGTATTTACAAAGTAACCGTAAATAGATAGACAGGGAAACTGGACCCCCAGATATATGGCTGGCCTGATGTCTGTTTAGACAAAAGACCTCAGGGAAGTATTTTAAAACTTATTTTTATTTACCTGAGAGTTAAATGAATTAAAAATGGCTTTAGTGAACACTGAAGGGGTTGTAATGCTGTCCGTGGTGCTGAATACTCCATTGTCCCATATGTGCCAAGGGGGCTCCGGAGGCTGGGTAGGGAACCCCTTGTCATGTTAGGGGACTGATGATAGGAAAGAAAGGGGATGGGGAGAAAGCATCATTTCCAACCCTACCAAGCAACTCTGAATGCCCAGAATAAAACGTTCAGATGAGAAAGAAAACAAAAAATTAAGTGGAGAATGCTGAAGGTTTGGATAGTTGAATCTTCCCTTTTCATATGGAGATTTTTGGCCTGAGCCAATCAGGTTGGAGATTTCTGCTGCTTTGCTCCCGAAAGGAAAAGTGGGGGGAGGGAGCGAGAAGATGGCCACATTCTCCCCTGGAGCCACATGATCCATTTCCCATGTGACACATTCCAGAGCCTTGGAAAAGAGAAGGGAGGGGCACCCAGAGAGTGGGGCTGGGGGCGGGAAGATGGTTTAACAGTCTACCCTGCACAGCGTCATCTTGTCTCCTTACCAGGAAGCGGGCTGTGAGCCAAGGCAAAGGCAGAGGACAGATATGAATGTGTTCCCAAGCTTTCCTGGTGGCTTATGGCATTCTCCAAACTCCCATGTAAGGGCTATTGCTGACCAAGAAGACCCAAGGAGACTGGCTCTAAGATCAAGTCCGGATGGAGGTATGTGCCAGAGATCCCGCGGTATTGTGGCTGAAATTCGGCTTAGAGAACATAAAACCTTTTTTTTTTTTCAGGCAATTTGGGGTTCTTGTCTTGGCTTATTGGCTGGTTAGGGGCTTTAGTTTTGTTATGGGTCCCACAAAGATGCCTAGGTAGTTCTGCAAAATGAATAATTCACCAGAGTAAGTGCCTGTTGAAGAAACAGATGGAAATTCTGTATAGTGGTAATTCATAAAACAAAGCAGTCATTGATGAAAACGATCTTTTTCTTTGAATCCGGGAAGGAGGAAAAAAAATGTTACTGAAACCAACTAGATTTCATTGTCACTGAAATAAAATCCTATTTCATCCCTCTCCAGCTGCTTATTCTGTGCTCATGCTCCCAGAGGTTGTTGGCAGTGGCTTCGGGAGATGAGGGGGCAGGCGTGCTGTTTCTTTGTGCTGTGCAATCCTTTTCCTCCTGATGTTCCTGATACCAGGAGGGCTTGTGATAGTTTCCAGCTCTGGTTCAGGACAGCAGACTGCCACCGAATTTCAAGCCTTACAGAACAGCTACCAAGAGGGCCCCTGTGAAGTTCTCAAAGGAATCTCCCAAAGTTACAGGCTAAAATAATCTGCCATGTATTCAAATCTCGATATCTTGACCATTTCTACCCAGCATAGAGAAGGAAGCTAACAAGTTTAAATTTTACTTTGTCTATATTTTACAAATATTTACAAAGTTCTTACTATATGTAAGGCATCAGTCTAAGCACACCAAAATCAATCATGTAATCCGTATGATAACCCTCTGGAGGAGGTGTTATTAGTACCCACATTTTGGTGATGAAGAAACTAAGGCACAGCGAGGTTAGGGGACTCTCCCACAGTTGCACAGCTAGTAAATAGTAGGAACAGGATTTGGACACAAGAAACTTGACCTCAGAGTTCATGATCTTAACCACTGAACCATGCTGCTTCTCTGCTTGTGTTATTTCAGATGATGTCAACAATTGATTTGGTTACACATTTTGTTCAGTTGATGCCACTAGAAGATTGAATCAGCTTGCCTGGCTAAAACAGATCCCCAGTGAAATCTATATTTAATCTTGAATTATCCCAGTAGTCACATTCTGTACCCCCAAATAACCCAGTAAGTAATAGCCTGTTCTCTTCCCCTTATACTGTATAGATATCTGGTAGTAAAACACTGTGTTACTATGGTGACCAAATGATGTCTAAAGGAAAAAAAGAAATCTGGAATTACATCATGGTTGATTTTTAAAAAAATCAAACCTAGAAACATTCTTCCATCCAGCCTAAGCATGTTCTCTTTAAAAGCACTTACCCGGGTTCCAAAATAACAGATTCAACGCTTCTAAAATTATGAACATAAACTATGATATCAAACTGCTTAGATATATTGCTTTAAAATAATATATTTTAAAACAAGGGAATCGATCTCTCTCTTTGTAAATTATTTTAGGTTTTTAAGGAACAATGAGGAAGTTTTTGTGTTGTTGTTTTTTTTTTAACTTCTGGAAATTTCCGAGATACAAGGATTTTCTTCCTTTGGTCTGTGTAGTTTCCCTTCTGGCCCTTATGAAATAAAAGATGACTGATCTCGTGCTGTGGGAAAACTAAGAGAATTTGCTAGGTCAAAGATACTAAGAGGAAGATAAGGGAAAGGAGTCTAAAATTTGTAAAATTCTTCACTAAATGAGGTATTTCCCTTCAGGGTTTCATTGAAGAAGACTTTGAAGAGTAATTACATGCCCTACAGTATTGAACTTTAGTTAGTCCTTTAGATTAAGCCTTTCATCCCTGCTGAAATCTACATTTCCCTGGGATAACTAACACATTCACACTAATCTGGCCAACTGGAGGGAGCTTCTTGTATCCTTCCATCTTTGGATTGCTAGCACTTAGCACCAGGCCTGGTTTATGGTAAACTTTCCATATATATTTGCAGATGAAGAATGGGAAGACTCAAGACTGACAGCATTCTGCCAGTTTGGGGCCTGGTAGGAGCCATTTTGGGGCCCATGCCTATTTTGTTTTGCATGTGTTTATAGGGAGGATCGTGAAGAGATAAATGTGCAGTAGGAAAAAATTATGCCTGAAATTTATGTATGCTATAGTCAGAGTGACCCTGGAACAATGGCACATTAGAGTTCAAAACATTCTTGGAGATTACCAATTCCTTTGGCATCCTATATAATAAAAGTGTAATATGCAAATTGACCCTAATGGCAGAACAACTGGTTGCTATGACGCGCACTGATCACCAGGGAGCAGATGTTCAATGCAGGAGCTGCCCCCTGGTGGTCAGGGGTCCTGGAGCTCCCCTCAGCTGGGCTGATGGCTGCGAGCGCAGTGGCGGTGGCAGGAGCCTCTCCTGCCTCCTCGGCAGTGCTAAGGATGTCCAACTGGTGGCTTAGGCCAGCCATCAGTTGGACATTCCCTGAAGGCTCCTGGGCTGCCAAAGGGATGTCTGACTGCCAGCTTAGGCCTGATCTCCCAGGGAGCAGGCCTAAGCTGGCAGGTGAACATCTCCTTAGGGATCCTCGGTTGCCAGAGGTATGTCTGACTGCCAGCTTAGGCCCAATCCCCAGAGGAGAGGGCCTAAGTTGGCAGATGGACATCCCCTGAGGGGTCCCGGACTGTGAGAGGGCGCAGGCTGGGCTGAGGGACCCCCCCTGAGTGCACGAATTTATTATGTACATTGAGAATGAAGTTCTCCTGATATTTTATTTCATTAAGTTTATTGGGTTGACATAATTATGTACATTGAGAATGAAGTTCTGATATTTTATTTCATTAAGTTTATTGGGTTGACATAGGTTAATAAGATTATGTAGGTTTCAAGTAAACATTTCTATGACACATCGTCTGTATATTGCATTGTGTGCCCACCACCCAAAGTCAAATCATCTTTTGTCACCATATATTTGGCCCCTTTACCCTTTATCTCCCACCCCCTTCCCTCTGGTAACCACCATACTGTTGTCTGTGTCTGTGTCTTCTGATATTTTTATTTAAATCTTGATGGAGGCACCGCTAACATCTCTGATGTTTTGCCTGGCACTATTTCCCAACATTGAAATAGTTCACTTTGGGTTGAGAAGGTCAGTTCCTTCCCCTGGCAGTCCTGTCCTAATCAACTGTGAATCCCAGTGCCCAAAACGCTGCCCCAAGAGCCCACAGAGCTACAGGATTCCTCCAAAGAGAACCCTGGGATCTTCAGTGTCAGAGTAGGTCGGAGCCAGACGGCCTTTCCCAAACAGAGTCCAAAAGATTGTCTCCAAGTATTTGAAAAGTTGCTTAGGATTTGAATTCAAGTTAACAGACTAATTAGGGTTAAAATAGTCACAAATATAACCTTTCCTATTATTTTTCCATCTAATTAATTCATTAGGGAGAGGAAGAGTAGGGTTTGTGAATAAGATACGCGTCCCTGAATCCTGTGCACTCACCCTCCTTACCTCCAGTGTTTGCTACCTGCTGAGTGGACTGTGCAAAAGAAACAGCCCTGCTGCTGGAAGCAAGTGCCACACGCCCCCCGCACTCATGCAGGCCTTCTCAGATACACAGAGAAAGCTAGTGCACACAAGAGGCTTCCACCTGGAAGCCTACCTGGGCTTCCTACTCATCCCTCTCGAATCTAAAAGGTGCAGTCTCCTCAACCAGCTGAACAGGAGAAGACAGAAGAGAGAGAAAGTGGAGGCTTCCCCCGGAGGAGAGGCTTTGAATTTGGAAGCTAGGCATGAAAGAGGAAATAAGAAGAGGTTCAGTGAGCACAGGTGAAGGATATGAGAAAGTGATGCCTCCGTCCTGCCTTTTGGTTACAGTAACCTGCCCACCACTAGTAGATGCTGCCAAATGAGTCACGCCAGCGGGATTCTCACATCCTTTCCTAAGGTGTATACATAGGGAGGAGGAAAGACCCGAGTGGATGCAGTTTCTTCTCTATGAACCAGAGCACAAAATGGGATGGGATGAGAGGTACACTCTCCTCTCCGAGAGGATGGCTTTAAAAGCAGAAGGGGAGTCACCATCATGAATCTCTTTCCCTGTGTGTAGAGTCACTTCCCCTTGGCTAGACTTGTAAAGCATTCATCTCCTGGAGCCTTTCATTCGGCAGACCTTCCTACGCACTGGATGTCTCTTGGTTCATCCTGATGGAGGCGCTATGATATGCATGATTAGCCGCAAATTCTGATCAGGAAACTGAAGCTCAGAGAGATGAATTCATCTGCTCAAAGTCACACACAGCAAAGAAAGCCAGGATCTGACTCTAGGTCTTTTCTTTTCTTTTCTTTTCTTTTCTTTTCTTTTCTTTTCTTTTCTTTTCTTTTCTTTTCTTTTCTTTTCTTTTCTTTTCTTTTCTTCCTCCCCTCCCCTCCCCTCCCCTTCCCTTCCTTTCTTCCTTTTTTAAAATTTATCTTTATTGTTCAAAGTATTACAGATGTTCCCTTTGTTTGTTTTTTCCCCATTGACTCCCTCCACCCCATCCCTGCCCCTCCCAGCCCTTCACCCCACTATTGTCTGTATCCTTGGGCTATGCATATATGTATATGATGCATATGACTTCCCTGGTTAATGTCTCCCCAGCCTCCGCTCTGAAATTCCTCAGTCTTTCTAATTCTGTGCTCTTTCCACTATATCACAAGTGAAGTCTACATTCTTTTTTACAATGTATGTTTTTGGGCCCTGGCCAGTTTTGCACAGTGGTTATAGCATTGGCCTGCAGACTGAAGGGTCGCAGGTTTGATTCCAGTCAAACCTTGTACCTTGGTTGCAGGCTCAGTCCCAGCCCATTCGATGTGTCTCTTTCACATCAGTGTTTCTCTTCTCCTGTCTCTCCCCCTCATTTCCACTCTCTCTAAAAAATCAATGGAAAAATATCTTCATGTGAGGATTAACAATATATGTATATATATATATATATGTTTTTTGATATTAGATTAATACAAATACAGTTCAAGAAAATTTGGAAAATATAGAGAAGTATAATGAAAATAAAAATCAGTTATGATCTCACCACCTATAAATAACCACTGTTAAAAATTTCGGTGTATTTCTTCTATTTTTCCCCCAAAGCATCTATATATATAAAAGCCTAAGCAACCGCCCGACTGTTCGACTGTCCAACCGGTAGCTATGATGCGCAATGACCACCAGGGGGCAGACGCTCTGACCGGTAGCTATGACTAGCACTGACTACTGGGGGGCAGACGCTCAACGCAGAAGCTGCCGAGCTGTGGTGACTTGGCAGCTGCGCTTCTTGGGTGATGCACCCAGAACCAGAGAGGTCCAGGGAGCCCACTTCCGGGGTGCGTCACCTGAGAACCACCCTCTCGAAATCCGGGACCCCTTGGGAGATGTTGGAGAGCTGGTTTTGGCCCGATCCCCGCAGGCCACACCGAGGGACCCCACTGGTGCACCGGGCCTCTAGTATAACAATAACAAAAGTAAATGTTTTCTTAGCACTTGCTCTGTTCCAGATGTTGGTCTTAGCTCCTTTCTTGTATCATACTTTATTCTCACAACAGATCAATAAGGTGGGTCCTGATATTACCCTAATTTTATTGGTGAAGATACTCATGAGTACAAAGATGCCAGTCACTTGCGGTGGCTGCATAGGTAATATGTGATTTGAAACCCAGGTAAGCTGGCTCTAGGGCAGGGTTTCTCAACCTCAACACTTTCGGCATTTGGATTAATAATTCTTTGTTGGGGGTGGGGGGTGTCCTCTTTATTATAGAATGTTTAGCAGCATCTCTGGCCTCTGCCTACCAGATGTCAGTAACACCTTCCTCCCCCAGTTGTGACAACTAAGAATGTGTCCAGCCTTTGCCCAATGTCCTCTGAGAGGTAAAGTGACCACTGAGCCACTGCTCTAGAGCCCATGCTCTCAACCACTACACTGTACAGCCTCTTTATATTTAAAATGTGCATAGAGTTATTTTCTTCCACATCTAAAGAAGGAAATGCACCTTCAGATTTGGGTGCAGGCTATGAAACCATCCTGGAATGTCAAGGGCTTTTTTAGATCATATGTAGGGGTTAGTTACTTACAGAGAAATGTTCATAGGTGGACATTTGTAACAAGCTTATCAGATCACACCATTGACTAGTGAGGAGAATAAC